GGCTGCTGTGTCCCTTCCGTCCCGATATTGAGTTGGTGATCCCACCGCTCTTTGTCTGCAAGTGCACGGATAGTGCCTCGCTCCGAAGCTTCTTCTCGAGCCTTCTGCATTTGCAAGTGCCGTTCCGAGTGCTCTGCATCCCCTGGGAGTGCAGCATCTGGGGCACGGAGAAGTGGCTGGTCAAATGGCAACCGAGGCTTTTGACCATACAACAACTCAAATGGTGACCACTTGGCTGTGGTTTGCTGTCGGACTCGAGTTGCAAATAGTGCAGCATCAAGAAATTTGTTCCATCGAGTCGGATCTCCTGTGGTATTCATCTTCTTGAGATACGACTCAAGGATCCCATTGTATGATATCCTGAGGTAGTCAACTGTCTGATCTTTGCAATCTTCAGGAATTCAGACACAACCGGAGCAAGGAAGTTCTTTCCACGGTCCGTGAGGATTTCACTTGGCACTCCATAGTGCATAACGATCTGGTCCCAAATCTCCCGGGCAACTCGTTGGCCTGTGGCTTTTCGCATCGAAATTCCAATTGGCCAGCCTGTGGCATGATCGACCATAGTCAAGATCCATTTATGCTTGCGACCGTCTCTGGTCTCTGGCATTCCGATCAAGTCCATTCCCCATCGCTCAAATGGTTCAACTGGTGGAAGCGGGTGTTGTTGTTCGAACTCCTCTCGTTTCCTTGGATTGGAGAAGATTTGACATTGTGGACATGTCCGACAATACGTCTCACAATCTTTTTGTCATCCAGGCCACCAACCCCATCCTCTGAGCAAGTCAAGCATACCATGGACACCCTGATGGCCATACTCCTTATGAAGCACATTGAGTAATTCTGCATGGTGCAAGAATGGGATAAAGGGTGAAGACTCATTTCCATTTGGCCTGGTAAACACAAGTGTTTCAGCAACTGTGTCATATCAGAAATCGCCAGCTTGTCTCTTGGCTTCTTTGACAAGGTTTTCTGGGCTGAGGCTGGAATCTCTTCATTCTCCAGCACTGCTGGTACCAGTAATGGCCAGTCCGTCCATTCAAACGAGTTGAAATCAAAGTCCAATGCCACAATTTCAGTAACATCTGGACCTTCTCCCCCTTCGAAATTGTCTCTCATCCTTGAGAGCATGTCTGGAGTGGTGTTCTCCACTCCTTTCCAATAGATGATCTTCACATCCATCATGGAGAACTCTTCAATCCACTGAGTGAGGCGTCAAGTGACAACCTTTTGTTGCTTGAGGTAAGCAAGAGAAGTGTGATCTGTCAAGACAGTTGTCTGACTGACTGCCCCTTCTGGGTAGATATACCATTTCTGCCATGCATACAGCACAGCAAGAAGTTCACATTCTTGTGCTGGATAGTTTTGCTCTGCAGATGTGAGCTTTTGGGACTCAAAGGCTATGGGATGCCAATGTCCAGCTTCATCTTGCTGAGCAAGTTCCACACCAATTGCCAAGTCCAAAGCATCTATTGCAACTTGATATGGCTTGTTCATGTCTGGTGGTCAAAGCACTGGAGCTGAAGTCAAGGCACTCTTGAGCTTGCAGAATGCATTCTCACATGATGGTGTCCATGCTACCAGAGAAAGCTTCAAAACCTTCCCCTTTGTCAAGTCATGCAGTGGTCCAGCAATCTTTGCAAAATGCTGGATAAAGCGATGATAATATGATGCAAGGCCAAGGAAGGATCAGACTTCTGTCACAGTTTCTGGTCATTTCCATTCCTTGATCACAGCAACTTTCTCCTCTTGCACTGCAATACCACTTGTTGAGATATGATGTCCAAGAAAATTTGTTGATGTTGCTCCAAATTTGCATTTTTTGGGGTTCATGTACAAGTCTGCACTTGTCAAAGCTTCAAGGACTTGTCAGACATGTTCTGGGTGTTCCTCTTCAGTCTTTGAGTATATCAAGATATTGTTGAGATACACAAGAACAAAACGGTCAAGATATGGTGTCAACACTCTGTTCATGAGTTGCTGGAAGACTGCTGGTGCATTCTGCAGTCCGAATGGCATTACAAGCCATTCATAGTGCCCATATCTTGAAGAAAAGCAGTTTTTGGAATGTGTGGGGCTGAAATTCGAAGCTGGTGAAAGCCAGACATCATATCAATCTTGGAGAAAACTCTTGCTCCACCAAGTTGATCCAGACAATCTGAGATGAGCAGTAGAGGATGCCGATCTCTTGCAGTCACTTCATTCACAGCCTGGTAGTCAACACACATTCACCAACTGCCATCAGCCTTCTGCACAAACAATACTGGTGATGACCATGGTGATGTTGAGGGTTGAATAAAACCCTTTTTGAGGAGGTTGTTGAGCTTGGAGTTCATCCAACTGAGGCTGGCTCATGGGTCTTGGGTTTTCAGCCTGTGGAGTTGCATCTCCTGTCTCAAGAAGTGCTTCTACTTCTTGTGACACTGTGGGTGCATGGGGAATACCTTTGGTGAAGTGAGAGCAGTAGTGATCAAGTACCTTCTGCAGCCTCATTTGCAATGGCTCCCCTACTGCTGCCAGTTTTGGTTCACCAAGCTCTGCAGCTTCTTGTGTGCCTGGAGCTGGTTCCTCCTCAAAATGTGGCTTCCCAACTGTGACTTCATTCAGCAGCATCTTTCCAGATGCCAGAGTCTCATCCAAGAATAACAAGGCAATGAAGGCTTTGCTCTTTTGCTTGCACATTACTTGGTAAAAGCCATGTCGACTTAGCAGTGTCTGGTCTTCAAGCTCTACTACTGAGAGCTCTTGAATTTGGGCACGGAGTGGATGTGCTGTTGGGCAGAAGACATGAGGGTGACCTGCAGCATCATGTAGGTGCCATTCTCCCTTATACCAGTCCATGTAACTAACATTCTTCAGGATCCAATCCTGGCCAAGGATGAGATCATAGGTGGCAAGTGGCACAAGTTTAGCAAAGACTTGTCCAGTATACGAGTGACCAAGAGCAAGATTCAGTTGGGTTCTTTCATTTTGTTCCACTTGCTGTCCAAGTGTGGTCTTGACAGTGAACAATTTTGTTTGCTCTTGTCAAACAGAGCCATTTCAGCTGGCCCACCATTCCAAAACAAATATTTCTTCAGCACTGGTATCCACAAGCACTTTGGCCATCATGCCATGTAACTCCATGGTAAAAACAACACTGTGTCCTCCACTTCTGGGCAGGGCACTCAACTTGATTGCTTCAACATTGAAGCTGGTGTCTTCTTCTTGCATCACAGCATCTTTGACAGACACTTGACCTTCATGGCCAGCCCACATGGTGATAGGGCTCTTCTTTGGGACAGACAGTGGGCCCTCTACTGGTGTCCCTTCCCTTTTCCCACTCTGCCTTCTTCTTGGCAGCATCAGTAATGGGATCAGGGCAAGTGTTCATCCAGTGACCTTCCTTGTTGCAGTTCCAGCTTTGGAGCTTCAGCTGAGTGCCTGAACCTGAGGCAACTGCATTCATTTCTGAAACTTGTGTGGTGTTTTTCTTCTGAAGTCAATGACCCTGGTGTCAGGGCACCAGCTCATTGCTTGGTCAAGAGACATGACTAAGCCTTTATGACATGGAAGTAGCTGGTATACCTTGGCATGTGCTGGAACCTGCTGGAAGGATTGGATGGTCAGGTGACCTGCTATGCATGGCTGTGCATGACCTCATATGACCTCATCCTTGGTCATATGACCTGATCACCTGACCAGGCTGAGTAAGCAAGATGTTCTAGCAGGTTCCACCACAGAGGTATAAATATAAGGCCTACCCTGCCTGGGGACTGTCTCTTCAGACTTGGTCTCTTAGGATCATCCACAGGTACCTATACTGTAGATAGATCTTAGTCATCAGGTCTACTCCACTTCCCTGTTGCCTGCTTAGACTCTTGGCACTCTTAGGTGAGCAGACTTAATCAGCCTGTGTTGCCCTAACACCTGGTGACTTCCCATGGAGGGGCCTGTGGAATGAAGGACCTGTCATATTGCTGGGCAAGTTGAACAACTGACTGGTAGTTGAGACCAGTTGGTGTCGCTCCAGTCATACCAAAGCTGACTGAGGATTCCGGACCAGAGCCCTGAGACAATGCA